ATCGTTTTGGGAAATAGCCATCGGACTTACAACGTTCCTCTACGGTTGTCAAGCATGAAATTCGCGACCTTCCGACAGTAAATAAGGGAGAATTTGAGAGCAAACTCTTGGGATCACCAAATGTTGGTATAGTGGATCGAATGAATTGTGCAACCATGTTCGACAAACAATACTTGATTCTTGGAAGTGATACTGGCTTATTCGTGATTGATTTCTCGGTTCGCTGGGATATGATGAGACCAAAACAACTTATACGTGGATGCCCGTTCAAAAAGTTACAAGTTCTTGATGATTATGGAGTGATGGTTGCCATTGCTGGAAAAAAACAAACGATACGAATATACAAGTTAGACAGTTTGCTGCACCTAATAAAATTTGTCGTCAATTCAAAATCGGGAACGCCAGTCGATTTTTCAAAAGCATCACCATTTCTTAAAAAGATGACAGACAGTTTGCCAAAATGTGAAATATGTGGACATAATTTGGATGAAGTTTGCGTGGGAGATCGAAAACACGATTTAATATGTCAAAGCTGTAAAGGTACTCGCGATGATTCCGATTCCAACACCGAAGAGCCCAGTGCATCACAATCTCCTGCATCTCTTCCTCCTGGAAAATCCCATCGTCGACAGTTGTCAAATATTTCCAAGCATTTCATTCAACATAACCTATCCAATTCGATTGGTAGTGCGAACATTAGTGTCGAAGAAAAGTCAACTGTCTGGAGTTGGGCAACAGATTATGTAAAGTTACCAGAAGTTAATAAGTGTTGCGTGACCTTTGACATCAAAGAGACGAAGAGTCAGGTATATCTTACGGTGCTCACCATCAATCACTCGATACTTTTATTCTCGTGTTCAGTAGAATCAAAATATAAAGCGAGTTGTAAATTTTTATACTTTAATGCTTACTTTGTGCCAGTAACACCAAATTTCATCAGTGTTTCTACGGACTCGTCTATCATCAAACAAATAATTGCTGGCGTGGAAGATTGTAAAGCGGTAGTCATCGATTGTTATACAAGCACGGTCACAGAGCTCAACATGACCAAAAATTTGATTCC